GCGATGATGAATAGACATCTATTAGTCCCGCGCGACTTCGAAGCTTTAAACGAGCCAGTCAATCGGACCGCACACATCCGGCTACTGATTGGAATCCAATCAAGCAGAGCAGCTTCAGCCCGGGGACTCAGGGCAATGCCAACACCAGCTTGGCCGGTGCTCGAAGCTGTATCGTCACCGGATAGGAGCAATGAAAAAATACTGCTTGCGTCACCTGAAGGAGATCGCAGAGTGAGCACAGTGCTCGAGTCTTGCAGGCGATTCTGATAAGCAGCAGATATCGATCGAGAGGGTCTCCAATGTTGGGGCAAGTGCTGCCTGTTGACCGATTTGTAGCAGTGTGCGTACATTGAGGCATGCCAATCTGAAGGAGGATCGAGGGCTCCAAATGGAAGCCGATGAACTGGAATGGAACGCTTGGTTGGACATGGCCTTGTCGACAGGAGAGGAGTGACGCTCCACGTTCACATGTGAGTTGAAATTAGAAGGTAAATGCCTAGCAAAGCATGTTGGGGGAGGGCCAAGAATCGGGGGTTGAAAACTGGGGGAATATAAGTGAAGTTGGAAGGGGACGGAAAGAGTGAAAAAGGGTGAGGGGGAATAAGAAGACGGGAAGGCGTGAGCAGTAGCATACAAACCCCTATCCAACCTGCACCATGCAGCAGAGAGGGCACCGTTGATTATCCTCTGCGGTGGCCAGAGCATCAAGAAATGGTTTGAAATAAGATTCATAGTATTGCCCATCTGCACCCAACATCTCACAGCGTCTACCGGACGCCTATCAGCCAAAGCCCCTTATAAGACCACTCTATACCGTTTCCATGACGAGATTCCGCGTTCGCACTCTAAGACAAACAGGTCAACAGGCTGAATTCGCGCGCACCTTGGACACACTGGGTAGTGATGTGTGGTGGGTGTCCGAAACTAAGATCAATGACCCTAACGACGTCATTGAATTACCTGCACAGGGCTTATCCTCTCGTTATTGGGTGCACGCATCCGGAGACCCCGATGCAACATTCACGGGTCCAGCTGGTGTAGGGATCATTCTAAGCTCCAAGGCTGAGCCATCGTTGGTTGATTGGACTACGGTGAACAGCCGTTATGTGCAGTCTGTTTGACGACCTCAGCTAAGATGGATTCACGAAGTAATACAAAACGCTATTTGTGACTTCCATTTGTGCTCCCACCGACTGCAGTTCTAATGCTGTCTAGGACACATTCTATCATGAACTGAACCCGCTGCCACGCAGTGCTACTAGTTCAGATATTACAATATTTGCATGGGATTTGAAAGTAAAAGTAGGGCGTCTGAGCTCTTCAGAAGCTCAGCTGCGTGGTAATTATGGACCTAACTCCGAACGTACTGAAAACGATGAGTTTCTGCTATAACTGTGTGCGGAGCACCAGTTGTTTCTTAGTAGCACTGCTTTTAGCCACATTAGGCGCCGAAGTGCCACTTGTCGTCCTCCTGTAGCTGGCCAAAGATAGACCCAAATTGATAACATAGCCATAAGTTGCAGACGGCGTGGTTCCATCCCGGATTGCCGCTCGCACTGGAGTACCTGTGTCGACTATGATCATGACTTGGTACGCTGTCGTTTCTCCATGAACTTTACCGGGAAGCGCACCAAGCGTCTCCTCCGATTGGCAAATGAAAAATTGTCTCAACCCTCGGTCAGGCAAGCCTATCAAGACGCACTGCGTACCGAACTTTCGCTGTCTTGTCATAATGACACTGCGCTACAGTGGAGTAGGATCACGGCCGCCACGCACGACGCAGGAGCATCTACTTGTGGCACTATCCATCGTCACCGCACCAGTCACTGGATATCCGAGAGGTCGGTGAACCTGTTGGAATCTAGAGGAAATCTCCCGGCTAGCGTTGAACACAATGTGTTACCATACGGGCTATTAGGCGTGAACTAAAGCAGAGCCTACGTGCTCACAAGGAAGCCTGGTGGACCAGCCGGGCTCAAGAACTGAAGGAGGCAGGAGCAGTAGGCAATTACCGCAAGCTCTTCCAGCTAATCCGTACCACTGGTTCCAGGAAACTAGCCGAAAGCGAGATAATCAGACAGCGCCGGTGTGCTGATACTAATAAGGAGCGCCGTATGGCCCGTTATGCAGAACACATTCAAGATCAGTTCAGCCCACCCCCTGCTCCCGGACTTCTTCCTACTCAGCTGATGCAGGACCAGCCTCCGTCGGAGTCCGAGGTCCCAAACGCAATCACAGTCCTCAATCATTTTCGTGCCACTGGCCCGGATTCCCTCCCACCTTCACTATTTAAGGATGGAGGAGACGTCCTGTGTAAAACACTGACAGCCCTATTCGAGCGTATCTGGAGGGAAGTGTCCCGGCTAATTGGAGCGAATCGATTATAGTGGCAATAAACAAGAAGCGCAGTCGGAAAGACTGGGTTAACCGCAGGGGTATTAACCTAACGCCAGTTGTGACAAAATTAGTGGCCCCGATTCGAATTCGCCGCCTCACTACGGAACGGGAATCTCGGATTAGAGAAACGCAGGCCGATTTCCGTCCACGACGTGGCTGTATAAACCATACATTTGCGTTGCGGCAGACGCAAACGCAGCGCCATGCATACCGCAAACGGACAATAGCTGCGTTCCTCGATTTCAAGAGTGCGTTCGATTCAGCCGATCGATCTAGTCTCTTGGAAATACTTGCACGAAAATGTGCTCCTACGAAATATGTGAATAACCCTCGGGTTCTATACTCGGACACCACAGGTCGCGTCAGGGTCTACGGTGTCCTATCGGATAGCTTTCCGACCACAAGTTGCGCCCATCAAGGTTGTCCGATTTCCACATTTTTGTTCAATTTCGTCATGAATTCTATCATGAAGTTTTGCCTTGCGGAATCTCACGATGTAGGCGTTACAGTGATGCCTGGTGAAAGGTTAGCTTATCTAGATAATGCGGACGATATCGTCTTGCTTTTCGACAATGTTGAGGAAGCACAATCAACCCTGAATAGCCTCTCCAGAGTGGTCCCATCATTTGGTACGGACTTCGCACCTTCAAAGTGCAAAGTGTTGCTGCAGGACCACCAGCCACTCTATGACGCCTTGGCCCTTGCTAACGGCGAACTCGAAGCAGTTAAGCAATTCCCTTTTCGCGGAAGCTGCATCAACAACGATGGGCGCATATAACCGGACGTCCGCTCATGCACTGCAAAAGCCAGAATTGCTTTCATGAACCTGCAGCATCTCTGGCGACAGAAAGGAAGTTCCCTCCTTCTGGAAGGCCGTGTATACAAGGCCACAGTGAGAGTCGTTCTGCTCTATGGTAGCGAGACTTGGTACCTTTTGTCTGAAGATTTGAGGCGCCTTCAAATCTTTGATCATCGTTGTCTGCAAAGTATTGCCGGTGTCGGATGGCACCAACGTGTCCGCAACCGTGATGTGCGGAGGCAAGTACTAGGTGGTGATAAGCATGCTAGCTCTCTAAAACAACAGATAGCATTGAATAAGTCGCGTTTGCTCGGGCACGTACTACGTATGTCTGGTCACCGTTTACCTAGGAAGGCCTTGTTTAGTCTATCAGGTGTAGGGTGGCGCAAGGCTCGAGATGGACATAAATTGACTTGGTAGCGAAAAATGAAGTCATTGAAGACCAACCTGGGTGCCGCTGCTTCGTCTCGCCTTCCGGGCTGAAGTCCACGTGACTCGCCTTGTGCTTGGCTGGAGACATTACAGGACATGGCACGCAACCGACACCAGTGGCGCGTCTGCTGCCGTCTCCTAATCTGATTGTCTGTTTAAGGTGTGTTTGGTGCTGAGCTGTCTGTGGGGTAATGGCTGATTATGACGCGTGGCAGTGAAAGTCGCAAGGTTGTCTCGTCGATGCCACCTTAGCTTTGCGCGATAGTCAGCCTTTTGTGACGGCATGTTGTCTACACAAGGTGTAGGAGCCTTGACCCTGAATGTTTGCTTAGGGCCTTAAGGTTTTCAGCTAAGCGCCTTCTGTGCCTCTTTAGTGCATGGGTCCTCATGGTTGTATGGCAGCGAAGCATCAGTTCAAATGGCTATACTTCTGTTAATGCTGATGATGATTATCCCCATTTTCTTTACATAAATTGTATAACGAATGCTAGTGAGGATGTCGACAAGTGTCGGAAAGCATCACACGTCTGCCTAGTAATTGAGAGGTAACCGGCCCAAATCTGTGTAGGCACTAGCAGCCTAGCGGTATATCTAGACCACACGTGGCCTGCTCTGTTCGCATGGCAGCGAAACATCGGTGCAGTGTGGGATAAGTGGGCAACGGTTGGTTAACTAGGTTAGAATTTGGGTCTCATTTTAGGCTTGCCAAGAGTTCTAAGAACAGTGGCAATGTCTACAAATGATCCACTCAAGGAGGAAAACGGTGTGTTCTCTTTTCACTGCCGTACAGGTCTAACTTTCACGGTTCACATCTACAAATTCAAAAGTAGACAAGCATGTAGTGATCAGGATTTCTCCCGCTGGACTGTGTACATCAATGTAAAATACTATGAAATCACAGTTTCTTATGCATTATGGTGGCAAGAATTTCGCTTATTCGAATTGTGCTCAGGTTTATTTGAGTCAAACACACACACACACACACACACACTCCGGCTTCCGCTGACCTTCGGAGCTGGATCGTCGCACTCAGCGCCTGATCACATGCTCCCTAACTATCTCTGTATCAGTGCCCTAATATTAACCTCAGGTCGCAGCAACCTACTAAGAAAATGCATACTATCTTATTGTGTTCTTCCGCATACTTTCGGCTGGCCGTTTCATCTGAATACTCAGTACGTAACACCCGGTTGACACGCTATAATTGGTGACCCCATTATAATCGGTGGGTATTTTAATTTGCAAGTCCGGCTACACATCTCGTCTATTATCCATGTCTAATTAAGATCCGGAAGAAGTTCTATTCTGATCTGGCAGCAACACCATAACACCGTATAATATTACTGGAAAAAGGCAAGGCGTAGATACTTACCGAACATCGATAGATAACTGAAAGCTTTCCTCCGCAAAGAAGACTCAGAAGCTCGTGAAGTAGGGGACTTCGTAGAACTGACTCGATAAGCCGTAAAGTCAGGAACGTTGGTGACATCAGTGTGAGCTAGACGAATCTGCATTGGCACTAATTAAAGTATAAGTGAGACGGGTGGAGAATACTTGAGAGACCACAGATAGCAACTGACACACGAGAAGTTAGAAGATGACTCGTGGGATGGAAAGGGTACTTTATTAAGGGCGCATGCAAAGGCGCCTTAGCTCTTTTTGTTAGTGGTATCATAATACTCTTATCTACGGAGAGTGGCACACTTTGACATATGGCCAGAGCTTCGGGGATGCGAAAGCTGCGCGAAAGCGCCATTATGCACAAAGTAATCGACTCTGCCCGTCGTAATAACAGAGTTCGTCCAGATTACCGCGAGAAAAATGTTTGGTTTAAATGTATATGAATCGCGAAACTAAACTTTTTAGGACAATGTTGGGTGGCAGTGTTCCAACAGTCAGTAGTAAAGATGGCTATAAAAAATATTTTAAGTATTAGTGTGGTAGAAAATATGACGGACCTTTAGAATATGGACAACAGTTTATGAATCTAATGTACCTTCTACTTCGCGCGATAATATTAATTTCAATTTGCTAGGCAGCATCTAGAAATAAGTATATAAATAACAATTCTGTGTTCGGACGTTATTTCTTATCACTGGCTATGGGAGCGCAGCATATGTTTAAATAGTGGATTCAGTTAACTTGCTTCATTGGTTCATTGGGTAGTATAGAGCATGAAGTAGAGCCCATTTCAGCTCCACCGCTTCCCGATCATTGCTGCGGTGCTCAACATTGCGTAACGGAAACTTCGGATAGGCCATCGCACTCGTAGCTGAAGCAACAAGACCCGGCATGTTCGGCATTTGGGAAGTAAGTAGTCGTTTGCAACAATCCTCTGTCTGCGCATAAACGACGGGCGGCGGTAACCGGTTCAAAGTATTCACAGGGCGAGTGGATAGAGCTACTGTGGACCAGAATTCGATCCTCCGCGTGTTGAATAGTTCCCATCCGTGGTCTCCAGTTGAACTCCCAACCTTGAGGTGGAAGCATTCTCAATAGTCTCTCCCCTAAACTAGAAGTTATAGTTGGCTTGACACCGGGAACTAGCCAAGTGCCAAGTGTTAGACCGTCTGACGGTTATGCGAAGGCGAAGGTTCCAACGCGCCCTAACTGTCAGCCGAATTTGTCGGATATATCGGTTCTCACTGAGAAGGCATGCGCTGAAGATTTGCTCGACTTCGCTCAACGCAAAAATTAGCCACGAAACCCTGCTTCCGATATCAAGAAGAAAAGCACGCCAAAGCTGCCATAAAGCCTTTCGATGGAAACGACGACACGACAAAGTGAAAGATATCGACAACGGAGCGAAAATCCTACGCTGCCGTTGCTATCTTATCGGAGGGCCTAAAGGCAGTCTCATCGTCGGTGGTGAAGCCACCTGTACCAAGTATCGAATCAAAGGCGCGTGGGATTAATACACCCCGTCGTGGCGATTATGTTACCGGTAGTAACGTTATATTCCGTAACGCGGCTGAACCTACTGCTGTCCTTCATGCTGACCGCATGCTGGATAACCTTCAATGGTTTAAAATGTGTGTGGCGAAGCTACTACGGCCTGTTTTTCCAGGCGTTACTGTCAGGAAGCTGTTTAGACGGCGGAACGTCCCAGTTAATGTAAAAACCCTCGACCGCGACTACATCGTGTGGTACCCTCTACCCCGGAGGAACGCAGCACTTTCACGCCGTTGCGTTTAAGCTGAAGGGCACAAATATTAGCGATCAGCCAGGCCTTCCGCTGGCCGATAGGCCGAAGCTACAAGAGGCCAACAACGACCTTAAAGCAGGAGAGCGATTGATGAAAATGGTTTCCGATTAGTGGGTTTTCGGGTTGTCATCCAGCGGTCCTTTGCCGCGCTAGCACTGCCAATTCTAGTAGCGCACGTCTCAGGACTGGATCTAGCGATTACCTCCATATAGTGCTACGTAATATGCACAGCCTAAGGAATAAGGTGCACGAGTAAGGTCTGCTTGTAGATGGGTCTCCTCCCGAGATAATCGCATCCACTGAAACGTGGCTATCTCAGGACATCACGGATGGTGAAGTACGTCTACTTGGGCTACTCACTATTTAGATACGATCACTCCGCTGGCCGGTTGTGAGGGGCCGCCGCTCTTTAGGTTATCTGTAAACTGCCGTTTTCAAGACTTGCTTACTTCAGTCAGCAGACAAAACAGTTGAAGCTCCATCGGCGGTTAATTGCACATCCTCGGCCCAGGGTACAGTTGTAATTGTGTATAGCAGCCCTGGGAACGTATCCAAAAATAGTACTTAACTTCATTCGAGCCCAGCCGGCAAACTAATGCTTGGTGATCGGCGACTTCAACCCCCAGAGGTTTGCTGGGCAGATCTTTCTTGCGACTCAGCGTCAGTCACATTCGGCGCTGATCGGCTTGTGCGCATGCTCCAAGTACCATTGCATCAGTTCATTGGCCTCGCCACATGGTAGATGGACGCCCAAGTACCGTCTAGCGTAGACCCTCTATTTTCTAAGCTAATCGATTAGGCTGGTGACCTTACTTACGGATCTCCACTGGCTTCCAATGATCATGTTTGTTCGCTCTTCAGTTATACTCTGTCTAGACGCTAGTACAGTACGGTTGGGTCATGCCCGAATATATGGCACGTAGACTACCAATCAATAAGAGCCAAGCATTCGCGTTTTCATTGGGAGACCTCAGACGACAATACTGTCCATGTTGCCTGGGATAAAATTAAGTCCCACAGTACAGAGATCTCTACACCCATTATCCCAGCAACAAGGAGAATGAAGGCACGAACACAGCCGCTCTGGATAGACCACACTGGCAGGCAACTGCTTACAAAGGGTGCTAGCCGCTGGCGGCCTCACTGAGATGCTCCGTCCACCTATACTTATGGCAGGTACCGTAAGGCTAGAAATAGGTTTAAACAACACCTAAGGAATACTCGGCTCAATTTCGATAAAGGGATAGCAGACGAAGCTTCAGAGAATTCAAAAGATTCTTCGCGTATGTCAAAAGGAGCTGCGGTTGGAACATGTCAATTACAGCTTTGATGCATTGGGACGGTACTGGTGCGCATACGGACTATGACAAGGACGGCGTGCTTGATTGACAATATGCGGCAGCGGTTTTAAGGGAAACTTCTTTGACAGACGTTGAGCTGGTTTGCAGGACTGGTCGACCCACCCTCAATAGCCAGCTGGTTTACATGCTTGATCTTTTCTCCGGGAGATGAAGAACCCACACATCGTTCCAAATGGAGCTCTTTCCGCCATTCTGGAGAAGCTACTACGACGGGGTCTAAACAAATGGGTTTAGCTCGCCTCGTACTCACAAGAGAACAATTTACTCACCTGGAATAATGTAGTTACATGGATCCACTGTTCCACAACCGAAGACTGACAATTCTGGCGTGATTACCTTCAATGCCTCAAACATTCCGATTCTCCAATCACCTGGAGCTTTTCTGATGTCATTTCACGGACAGCATTGCGCGCGTATAAGCAGCTTTTCCGATGATCTTTCATGGAGTTCTCACTTGGCCATGGAGACAATTACACTTACATCTGAAGGAATTACTAGTCCACTTTGCGGAGAATTGCATCTTTCATGTTATGGACATATTCAGACACAAGAAACAACTGCACACACCGTCCATATGACAAGTCCAGCATGGATAGCCGGACACGGGTTGCGAGCCGGACAATATAATAGAAAAATCCGGCCTCTATTAACAATATGGTTACTTACCCGCATCCTTATCATTCGACTGTGACTCTTTTACATCATTGCCTGGCTTCAACGACTATTGCCGGTTCAGTACTAGGCCATTTGGCAAACAAAGGAAGAGTTTTGGCTTTCAACCGACTGCGAATAAAAAAATGCAAAATCGGTCTATACGGTGCATAGCCGACTAGCACTACAGTTCAACGGAATCTACGACAGTGTTCCAGGACGTGGTGGGTTTTCGCCTGGCAAGCGTTCTCCCCATAAAAAGCCACAAATGTCCGCTTAACAACACTGCAACGTGGCGGATGTGACTCGCCACAAAATAAAGTCACAGCTAAGCATTTCACACTGACGCAGTCCTCAGCCTCCCACATCCAACCTGTGCAACTGATTTTACTATGAAGAATGCTTTAGTGGAGTACCGATCATCCCGGCTTCGAAATGGTCATTGGTTGCACTAAACCTTGTTTGGGCTCCTGTGCTCATGAATCACTACATGGCAAATTTACCCCCCACTTGTATCTTGACGCAACAGTTTTTGCGCGCCACAGCGCCATCCTGGTCCTTGATCTGACTATTACCTGATAATATGCTAGCTCATATGAACTACATCATTTCGTTTATTCCTTTCATTGTAACGAAATGTTTTAATATTCCAATAAGCTATGCTTGTATGCATATTTGATCATGCCTTTTAGAGATGTGTCTCGTTTTACAGAGAATATACCATTTATTTATTTAGGTTTCAGGCCTATCGGAATTTATCGCAGTGGAGACGGAAGTTCGTAGGCTCTTACTAGGGCTGAACCCTTCTAAGGCCTCTGGGGCTGCTTTAATGCATCCGAAACTGTTGCATGAGCTGGCTGCGGAAATAAGTGGACAGCTCGGGGTGGTGTTCAGAAACCACTTGAAAACTGTGCATTACCTTCCGAATGCAAGGAAGCTAGCATCTGTACCAACTTCAAATATGGGGACAAGGTTCCGCTTGCAACCGACTAGAAAATTTGCTTGACGATTGTAACAGTCAAACTCATCGAAAAACTGGTGAGGGAATCATTGGGGAAGCATCTGAGTAGAGTTAAACTACTTAGCAACACGGATTCCGGAAGGCAAGTTCTTGCCTGGCGTATATACTAACGGGTTCTCGAAAGTTGGGCGGATGCAGCGGATATCGGCCAAGCGCTGGAAGTACTTTCTTTCGACTTTTCGAAGGCATTTGACAAGGTACCCAATTTGAGGCTCGCGAAATTGCTTACCTCCTACAGGGTATCTGCCGCGCTCTTCATTGGGTGTCTGCCTTCCTGGATGGTAAAAAACCCTGTGCAAGGGTGTTGTGTATTCCGTCAGCGAGCACTACATCCTTTTCTGGCTCAACAATCCGATACAAAATGGATACCCGCGCGGGATTCTCTTATCGTTACAGTAGCTTTGAATGTGTCTATTTTGTAGGCCGAAATCTGTCAGCCGATCTGAAAGATCCCCTGGTTTACTCAGGTAGACCTGGCTCATGCGGTCTTGTTATAAGCTTTAGTAAAGCTTGGAGGC